GGGAGAGGCGTCTGGAAATGTAGTGAGAGAAGCTGGTTAACCTGGCTCTTGCTCAGCTGTCCCCCCTCCCCCTTCTTTTTCCTTTTCCTTGTTTTTCACCCATTTCTTTATACCTTCCCTTCCGTCCCAGCTCCCTCTGTATATTTGGTGTTTGTCTTCCTCAGTCTTCACTTTAAAAAAAAAATTTTTTAAATTAATTTCAGAGTGGAAGGGAGAGGGAGAGATAGAAACATCAATGATGAAAGAGAATCATCTATTGGCTGCCTCCTGCATGCCCCCCACTGGGGTTCGAGCCTGCAACCCCGGCATGTGCCCTGACCAGGAATTGAACCATGACCTCCTGGGTCATAGGTCGATGCTCAACCATTGAGCCACTTTTGGGTTTTTCCCCCATTGTCTTCTTTTCTGCCTACCCTCTGACTGCCCTCTTACTCTGCCTTTCATTCCATTTCCAGCTCTTTTTACACTGAATGTTTCGTTCCAAATTGTGGGGAAGAATCTATCTTCATTTTACCCTGGTTGTTTTCAGTTTAAAATCTTTTTGGAGCTCTCTGACTCTGCATCAGTAGCATGCATCTGTCCATGTTTCTAATGGAGTGTGAACCCGAGCAAGGTGGTGGACTTTTTTTTTTTAAAGGCTGGTTTGGACTGGAAACTCCAGACAGCTGAGAATTAGGTAACTGCTTTAGTGTCTGGAAAAACCCCAGGTGGAAGCTTGATGTTCAGTGAGTTGGTTTCCCTCAAGATGAAAGAGGTTGATTCATTCTTGATAAGCCTATCCTGCCTTTCATTCTGCACAGGTCATTTGGCTTTTTATGTTTAGAGTGTGGGTTAATAATTATAAGGTTGATGCTCACTCCTTCCAGGCTCTCAGAGGGGTAATAATATCTCTATTGGAACACAGACTGTTTATCTGCTGGGATCCTTTCTGAGCCCCCTAACCTGACTCTGGCTGCGACTCCCAACTGCCTCCAGGCCTCCTGGTAGCCTCTGCTCCTTGTTTTGTTGTCCGTCTTCCTCTCCAACTCAGTGATGCTCACTTGCAGTTCTACATGTTTCTGATGGAAAAGCATGGTCATCCAGGATAAATGGGCTCATTTATGTAAATAGCCACAGGGCTGGGTTTGTTTGAACATGTGCATAACGTTTAGACCATCCGGCATTCTAGCCATCATTGACTGCATACCAACTTACTCACCCAGACCTCTGCTAGAGGCCTCACTGCTTGAGTTCATTTTGTCCTCAGAAAAACCCTGTGAGATTCAGTATGTTATTTTCATTTCATAGATGAGGAATCTGAGACTCATGAGAGTTAAACATCTTTCACAGGATCATTCAGCAAATGGCAGAGTTAGGATTTGAACTCAGGCCCATTAGCCTCGAAAGCCCATGATCTCCCTCCTATGCCAGTGTTTTCCAAGCTTGAATTTTTTGTATGCCACCCTGACAATGTTTGCTATAACAAAAGTATTATTTGTTTAATAGTTTTCTTAAAACCATTTATATTTAAAACTTAAAATTATAATTTAAATTTGTTGATCAAGGACATTTTGTAATATATTTGATATCATGAGTGTGTTATTTTTTCTAATACACACAAAAATTAATACAAAGCAATCATTGATTTAAATATAACCAAAAATCATCCTAAAGTGTATACATGCATTTTAGGAAATCACTACTCTAAGCCATGTTAGTTCTGCTTATTTTCTGACTCTAAAGATTAAAAAGAAGAAGAAGAAAGGAAACATAGCAGAACTCTCATCATTTAATTTATTCAAATATGCACTTATTCAAAGTAGTCACCTGGGGAAGCCATATCCTCATTTTGATGCTGCTGCTATGAACAAAATCTGTTTTATAATCCATTTGGGAATTGCCTTTGGAGTGGTGTATGAGTAATATTAGGAGATCAATCATCTTCTTAAAAAATATGTTTTTATTGATTTCAGAGAAAGGAAGGGAGAGAAAGAGAGGGATAGAAACATCAATGAGAGAGAGAATGTGCCCTCGCCAGGAATAAAATCATGTCCTCCTGGTTCATGGGTTGATGCTCAACCACTGAGCAACACTGGTGGACTAATTTTTATTTTTTTAAATATAGACAAAAGTGTGTCATCTACTGATAGAGATAGTTTTACTTATCTGCAGGGGGTTTGATTTTAAATAGGTAAAAAGCTATGCCCTCTTCCCATCTGAACAATTTCCTAGGTAGTAACTGGTGCCATTGGAAACTGTGTTACCTCAGGGAACCAAGACCCTGGTACTGTTTCCCATGTTGTGAAATTCATTACAGGAAATTCATGCAGAATATTTAAAAGAAGCAGAACAACTCGAAGGAATCGGTGGCTTCCTGATAAGTCAGGGTTAAATAGCAACAGTTCAAGGAGTCCCAGAAGTATCCAGGGACCTTGTGAGAATTCATGGAGTTTACCCCAACCTGCTCCTTAGGGACGGTCCTGAGTGGTGATGCATGTCATTTCCCTCTGGGGAGCGGCAGTGGCCTGGAAATAAGTGTGCTCCATCAGCCAGTGGCATGAGGAGCCAGAACCAGATCTTACCTGTGCAGCTGCAGGGGAGAGGCCGGGCGCAGCTCTGGGCCTCTTTCCACCCCACACGAGTAGAATGCCAGGGGCATCCAGTGGCCTGTTGGATCGACCACAGGTTGGAATCCTTACCCATACTCACCCACGCAGGAATCTTTCCTTTTCCTCCAAGTCAGGTCATGGGCCAGGATCATTCAATGTTGAAGATAAATGGGGTGACAGGCCTAGGGTAGCTTGACTTGCCTGATTCAGTTTCTAAATCAGAGCTTGAATGGTGAGCAGCAGATACTAGCTGGACAGATAAACAAAGTCATGCTCTCCAACATGGTTGCTGTTAGGATTTTTCCAAAACCCACTGATGCATTTTGTGAGTGGACTATCTCTTTTTCCGTTTTAGAGATAATTATAGAAATTAACGATGTGTCAGTGTTTAATGACACCTGTGTGAGGTGGCAGATACACCCAGGAAGAATGAACTCCAGGATCGTATATGTGGTAAGCAAAGTGATGGCCTTTTTCCTTCCAGTGCAGGAATGTGAGTCCAGGGGGACACAAGGCAATGGGCTTGCTTCCGGAAGAACCTCTCAATGTAATTGCTCTCCAAATCCCATCATCCTTTAAAAACGGGAACAGTTTTTTTTAAAGACATCTGGATTATTTTACTTTACATTTTGTGTTTAATACATTTGTCATTGGACAGGGTGTATGTGTGGGGATGTATTTATATTTGGTATCAAAGCTTGTTTCCAAGCACTCGTACATTACTCCCCCTGCGTCAGCCTAGAAGTGGCTGCTGCCTCTGTGACAGATTGCAGGGAGCGGGTTTCAAGCTGTGACTCTCGGTTGATTGCCGGTCATCTGTGTGTGGGGTAGCACTTAGAGGGACTCCTCATTTTATATCACTTCTTAGGACCTATTGGTTACTGGGCTGATCAGACTTCATCATCAGATACCTGATAGCAGAAGTTTACCCGATTGTCCCCTCTCCCCCAGGGGAGCAGTGCAGTGTAAAGGGAACAGTAGGAAAAAAGGACCCAGCACCATCAAATCTCTCTTGGTCGTTTTAACTGGAGTCATGGTGGGTTCTCTTGTCTTTGCCCCTTGCAAAGGTACATGTGAAAGGACACCGGGCAGACCCTATAGAATCAGTTCATGAGGAGAGAGTCAACCTGACCACAGACAGCAGGACCCCACAAGTGTGCCTAGACCTGTACCAAGGCACCAACTACACCGTGACCATCTCCACTGCCCCTCCCAAACGCTCCATGCCAGCCATCATCAGGTTCCAGACAGCAGGTAGGTAGAAGTGAAGTCTCATTTCCTCCCAGAAAATGCGAAGCACAGGATGTAGGGGAAATATGCTTCAGAATCAACTGGGGAGGAGAGCTCAGAGTTGCTTTTTGAGATCCGTAGCCAGAAGAATGTCCAGCAGGAGGGATCCCTATACTAGTGATGCCAGGCACAATGTATTGTGTCTCAGCTGGGCATCTGGTTGAAGTGGGAGGTGATAAGAAGGCATTTAAAAGAGGACAACATGAGGTGATGACGCAGTCAGTTCTCAATTACCCAAGGCAATAAAGGGTGGCCACATGGCTCTTTGGAAATGACAAAAGTCATTTCCGACTTGTCTATGAGAGGAGGAGCCAGGGACACTGACCCAATGGCTTTCAGATTAAATGGGAACTGACCCCAGGACTGATCGGGGCTGGGTAATCACATTGCCCGTGGGCGGGTGGATAGGCGTAGGCAGTCCCAGGGTGCAGGATGGTAAGTGTTGGATGAAAAGAGAAATTGGCAGGAAGAAGCTTCAAGAAGTAGTAATAAACCTCATTGCATGTAGTTATCACATAGATTTTTATAGTAACACTAGAGGCCCAGTGCACGAATTCGTCTGTCTGGACTGCCAGCCCCAATTGGGGCCAATCGGGCTGGCCAGGGGGAGGGCTTTCAGGGAGGGACAACAGGCGGTTGGCTGGCTGGCCATGCCCCTGGGTCAAACTCCCAGTTGAGGGAACAATTTGCATATTAGGCTTTTATTATATAGGACTAGAGGCCCGGTGCACAAAAATTTGTGCACTTGAGGGCGGTGTCCCTCAGCCCGGCCTGTGCCCTCTCGCAGTCTGGGACCCCTCGGGAGCTGCCTCCCT